TTTCAAAGTTTTTGCAGTTTGCACTAAATGTTTCCAATTTTTTTCAAAGTGCATTCGGAATAATCAGAACTTTCCAGTTAAGCGAATAGTCATAATCAGTGGCAGGGCACTTTTCATTCTTTCTTAGCAGACCGACCTTAATTTTTTTTGCGCTTGCGCCAGTATGAACAATTTTGAGGGGAGTGCGCTTGCCGCAAAATGTAATTTTTGGTCACAACTAGCCAATTAGCTTGTGCCTGAAATGCGGAAAACTTTCTCATTTTTATGTTCTCATTTTATGTTCTTGGGATATTAATTTTCTGTTAATTTATGTTAATTTTCTCATTTTTATGTCCTGGGATAGTTTGGAAAATCAATTTGTTTCACTTAAAAATCCAAAACCCGCCATCTTCAGAGAAAAAATATTCGATGCAAGTCTGCTATAATCTAACAGTATAATCAGAGTCATGAATGTCAGAGACATAAATTTCTCTTAATTGTGTCAAAAAAGTAATTTTGAAAGTACTTTCTGATTAATGAGACTTCAGTGCACAACCTTCAAATTTAAAATTGTAGATAATGGTCGTGTGAGATTGTCAATTGGGCGACAAATATAAGCACTTCCATACCAAAATGCACTCAACTGATGAGACTAATTAAACAGATTTTAATAATTATAAACGTTAGCCGGTGCTTCCCGATCTATTCAAAATTCAAATATCATCTTAGGAATAATTGTGCATTTATAATGATGTCAGTTGCCATTCAAACGTGGAAACTATTATTTTAAAAAATATATATAAAAATGAAGAGCCCTCCGAAATCATTAATTTTAATAGTTTCCTTCCAAACGTCACCTCTGTCGCCAAAGACTGTATTTAGACGCAAAAAAACCATTCACATGTCTATGCATTTTTGACAAATGCTTAATTTCAATTGAAGAAAAAAAGAAGAAAGAAGAAAAAGAAACAAAAGAAGAAAAAATTGATCAGAAACCGCAAAAGTGAGAAAAAAGAGGTAAATTTTAGAAGTTGGTTATGATTTATGACTGTTTAATAATAATTAAATTGTAATATACTTTATAAACGTAACCCAAAAAGCGAGAACAAAAACGCAATTCCGAACGGATTGGAGCTAAAACAATAACATCTTGTGTTGCAATGAAAACTACTTGAGCAAAAACTATCATTTTTTGTCGCCGAGATTTTTTCAATAAAACCAAGTCTGGTCGGATCAAGTTGAAACCTTGAGTTTTTGAAATTTTGACTACCCTTCAATGTCGGAGCAGTTTTTTGACAAAAATCACGCTTTGTTAGGAACAAAATGATATTTTCTTCGTCTGGTGTCAATTCTTTTTCGAAAGAAATTAATTGAGCTTTGGATCGATACTCTTTAGCTAGTTATGAAAAAAAAGTAATTCCGCTAAAAGGCTAGTACAAGGTCGAGCCTTGAATTGAGGTGGTCAAAGTAGTTCCAAAATCAAAGAAAAAACCACCCCGAGCACAAATACTTTTTCATTTTCTTCAAAAGTCGGAACAATAAAGAGGTCGTGAAGAAATCTATTTCAAGCTAAACTTAATTGAATTTATAAGCAAAACCTTCGAAAAAGTAAAAAATCAATCCAAACATTGCTTCATTGAATCTTTTAGTTGATCAAAAAGAAAACAATTCTTTGTAATTTAACCAAAAAGATGCAATGACACACCATCATTCACCAAACAGGAAAAAAGCTGAACATAACTTCTCAATTTTCACCGGTTTCCACCTAAATTTACTTAAGCTTTCGCTTTGTCAATGCTGAATGAAAGACAAAAATAGCTTCTCAAACTTGGGCTAACCTAGATTTTTGTGAGTATGATTGTTACTATATATCTAATACTTTTTTAATGATTATGAAAAGAAAGATGTATTGATTTTTTTGCAGAAAAAAACGAGATGGATTCAATAGACGTGAACGAAACTACTTTGGAAATCACGGCAATCACCGCAACGGAGATTATTGAAGAATTGGGATACCAGACGACAATAAAGGTATGTTCATATTTTCAGAAACAACAGTAGAAAAAAAGCTTGGGCAATCACGCAGACCAAAAAAGTTTGAATTCTCAAAGATGGCAAAAAAAAATTTTTTGTGCCAAACTGTTATTCAACTCTTAATAATAACACAAAGCAATAAAAATCCAAAAAAAAGTAGGACGCAATATTTCTATTTTAAATTTGGCAGCAACAATACAAATCTGAGGGAAAAGCGAGTAGTCGTCAACAACAATAATTTGCATTTGATTTCAAGTAAATGGATTACAAAAGATTTTTTGTTAAAGATCTTCGAAGCTATAACATGTTTCACGATAATACTGGGCATCCCTGGAAATATCTTCGCATACCTGACTGCCTCGCGGTTCACCCAGAACTCCTCCGGACAGGCATTTATCAAATGTCTGGCTGTCAGTGACATGATTGCAGGTAGGTAATGTTAAGATAGCTTTATACCATCTAGGCGGACTGACCTCTAAAACGTACAAATTAAAACAAAAAGTTATCTCGAAGAATCTATCATAACTGAAATACAACATTACAGTAGCTGCTACAATACAGCTTTTTAGAATTCAGTATTGACTAGCAATTATTAAAGAGAACCGTGATAATTTTAATACAGTTGAAAATTACCCTAAGTTTGGGGAATTTCTAGTCATCATTTGATCATTATGTCTGAGAAGCAGTCAAATTCTCTCCTGGCAAATCTACACAATAGTCCAGTCCAAAACAAAACCCAAAAAGAGAGCCAAAAAAAATAATTGACGTATCAACCGTACAGTAGAAACCTCCCCCCCCAGCCCCCCCCCCCACCCCCCATCACCACCACCAACTCAATATAGAGGAGAAAAAAAACATGTTAAGACTTTGATTTTAGTTTAAATGGATTCAATTAACAGTTTCATTGTAAGAAAAATTTGCAGAATAACTACCAACTTCCAAAAGTTGCTTAAGTAATTCCAATTTGTACGTTTGTTCGAAATGTGTTTTTTCCGGGCGATTCATTAGTATATCAACTAATGGAGAAAAGAGGGGAGGGGGAGGGGGGTTGGTTGATTGTAATTGATTTCCGTAAATTTTTAGAAAATGAGGGTTTTTGTATAAGAAGTCAGATGAAAAGTTGGAAAAGAGAAAAAAACATTTGAAGAATTTTCGCAGAATATTTGTTTTAGTCTCAAAACCTCTGAAAATATCTTCAAATTCTAACGGTACAAAAACAATCTTATGTGAAGTTTTGGCGTTTTCTGAATATTAGAAAAGCTTCAAAAACAACAAGACTTTTTTAGAGCTTTGAACCCTGAATGCAAAAAACAAAGCATATGTCATAAAGTTTTGTATTTAACAAGATTTGATGGCGAGTGCTACAGATTTTTGACCTTTTTGACCTTTTTTGACCTTTGTTGACCTTTTTGACATTTTTGACCTTTTTTGACCTTTTTTGACCTTTTTTCCTGATAGTAAATCCAGAAAGACCCTTGATTGAATCCAAGCTCCGCACACAAAACAGTATTGTTATGGTGGCCACTTTCCCAAAACAACAGCACTGAAAACCATGACTGGTGAAGATATTTTAACTCTAACTACTCCTCAAAAAATCCCAATATTTGACATTTTGAAAACTATGAGACTGTTAATTTTTTCGAGGGGAGGGAGGCGGTTTTTCAAAATATTTTCTAAAATTTTGTTCGACCTGTTTTTAGGAGTACCAAATTGATTTTCCGAGCTCTCCCGAAGCACTAAAAAGACCCTCTTATGGCGAAAATTTTTTCGCCGGAGGCGTTTTCAGTCTTTTTTGGACAGCTTGATTAAAACATTGCGTTTTTTCGTCGCGCGTTCCCCCCTCAAAATAAGTATATATCGGCGCCCAAGGCGCTTTAGAAAAGTTTAGGGTCAGCCAGCCAAAAAGGGAGTTCTTAGTAGCCAGGGAATGCTTTTTGTAGTCAAGGGTCGAATCCCTGATTGGCTCAAAACTTTTTTCAATTAAGCGAAAATTCAGCCCATCGAAATAAAATTGAAATAACATTTCGATTTTTTTAAGTAAGTTTCTGTAAGTTTTCAGAATTAGTGTCTGGCTTTTTATAAAACTAAATACTAATTTCATTAAGATCCAAATAAAAATTATATAAAATATCTTATCATTTGATTATATTAGTGTCTTCTCAAAAATACAGAAACAAACTTGTTACTCCTCATGGAACCGAATTGATAATTATAAGCCAATTTCAGCCAATCAGATTAAAAGCTACAAATTCAGCTAAAGATGTTAAAAATTTGATTTTGAGCAAAATAAAGAAAATGACATTTAAAATGAACAAGACTGCTCGTATATCAGGGCAAATACCCGCATGCTCCGACAGCCTTTTCACAGGTCTCAAATAATTTTTGATCAAGATTTTTTTGATGAGTTTAAATTTTTTATTGCCAATATTTCTAACATTTGATTGAATTGATCTGACCACTTAGAATTATTCTCAATTCAATTTAGAACGACTATGAATGCGGATAATTTGCTACGCATAAATAATTCGCCCATTGAAACTATCAAAGTATTATTCAAGCACTGATGCCATCCGCATTTTAGTCTTGTGCAAGAATACTTACTTGGCAGTCCAAAGATTTCCGGATCGATACCTATACGCTGTCAAATTTTGTGAAAATTTTTTGAATAAAAAAAACTACCTCAGGCGTATATATTCTTCCCTATATATTTTTCTCATATATAGTTACCTCAAGCATAAAAATTATAATGAAATGCCAAGTTGACCAAAACTTCTATCTGTTTAAACTAAAATTTTGAACAATCAAATCTTCGCGAGTTAGTGGAGGTTTATTTTAAAGATATACAGGAGAAAAAAGAAATGCAGTCATTTCGGAGTAATTTCTCAAAAATATACTGAATTTGCGACAACCTTTTGCAGCAAAAAATATAACATGGGTCGTTTACCAGGCTTGATACGCAAACTTAATTGACAGACGCTTTGACTTCGTTGCGTCGTTTTCAATACATTTTCAAGTGTTAGGAATACAAATGCAAAACTCATTGCACGCAGTACGACATCGCAATGAGATGACAGAAATAATTGCCGTCTAAATGCCTTGACGTCTTAATTTCTATCGTTCTTTTTAGCTAGCACCGTACTGTCTAGGCTCTTTTTATTCTCTAATATAACAGCTTGACATGTTATAAATTTCATTTGATTCTATTATCCAAATGCGATGAAAAATCACAGTAGGACAAAATGTGAACAAACTAACTATCTTAGATATAGAATGAAACTCAGAATGCGCTTTAGATGTAGTGATTTGCTCAACGCAATGTTTTCATTTTGTAGAATACAATGTTCAAAAAAAACTTGTTGGGCTGAACGTTTAAGAGAAGGGCGAAGACATTCTAGACCTTTCGGTTTCAAAAGTAACTTGAAATATTTCAAAGTTTCATCTCTTGAAAAATTTACTTAAAAAACTTACACTTTTTGCGAACCGATCCGCTCTTTTAAATCATTTGAAATATTTCAAAATTTTATGAATTGACTGGCTAGCTTAAAATTATTTAATTTGTACTGCAAATCATTTCCATCAATGATTAGAATTTTTTTAAACCTTCATAGTTTAAAAAGTGCGCTTAAAAAAATTAAAAACTTTGCAAATCGATTGGCTCCAGGAAATAACTTCAATTACTTCAAAATCTTATTGCTTGAGCAAAATTAGAAAAAAACTGCAAGAAAGTTTCTATGAAGAAATGCAAGAAAGTTTATACCAATTCATGGTATAATTTAACTTAAACGTTTTTTGAAAATTATCGCTTGAGAAGCTTCCGTAGATTTTTTAAACATGTTGCGATTTAATTTTTGCTGCAAAATAAGTTCAATTTTTATTTTGAAAAATTCAATCCTTGAATAGTTTTCATAAATAATCGCAACATTTGCCAACGATTCACAGTAAGGATTAACTTCAGAAGTTATTAAGTTTCATCGCGCGCTGAGAAAAAAATTTTTAATGCTCAATTAGCTGCTTAGAAACAATTTCAAAGCTTGATTGGCCTGCTCAAAAAAGCAGAAATTGTTGCGACTCAGTTCACTGTATGACTTAGTTTTTTTCTTTAAAAGTTTTTATCGTTTAATAAGCTTGCTTAGGATCTACTTAACAATCTCCCCTCCCCCCTATGGTACCTACTTAAGAATCTCCACCCCTATAAACAAATACAGTAAATTTGTACTGAGCTTTCTATTGAGAATTCTAACTTTGCTGCATTCTGATTGGTCGAAAAATCGCCCATTTTTATCTAATTAACAATCTCACCACCTTCCTTGAAAGGGGTGGAGATTGTTAGGTAGATCCCTTGCTTAGAAAAAATAGATTTTTCGCAAATCGATTCGCTCAAAAAAATAACTTTATATGTTTCAAACTTTGATCTCTTGAATAGCTTGCTTAACCGATTCACGTCTGTAAACCGATTCACGTTATAATTTTAATTGAAAATTACCAAAGATCGTAGCTTGTTTGATTGAAACAGTTCACAAATGAACAACTATTGAGTTTATGTCCGGGGTGGCTCACTCATAGAGTAATTTCAGATAAGGTACACTATCTTATTTTCGGCCGGACAGATTGGTGAAATTTCTTAGTCTAATACCAATCTAAATCTTACCCTTATATCTCTTTGTCTCAATATATCTAGTGTATACTGGTATATGCGAGGTTAAATATCAAGAACCGTTTTAGAGAAGAGCAACTGTTTGCTAAGGTATATTTATTCTGTTCTGTTAGCTAAAACTATGAATAGTTTTCAGCTTTACAATTAATTGTAAGTGTTAGTTATGGATCATGATTGGTTATTTAGAAAGATTTTATAGTGGTTATTTTATAGAGATAGTTTTATCAATAATATAATTGGATACAAACACTAGTTTTAAACTGGTTACACTATGATGCAATTGTTCAAATAATTAGTGGCTGCTCTTCTCCCACTTCAAAATATTCACTTTTTCAGTAGCTTCCGAATACTTCCTGCACGCGTCATAGCACAGAATAGCATCTGCTCCCATTTCGCATATGAAGAAAGTGTTGTTGTAACCATAACCGTTCATGAAAGGAATTTGGAGCGGTGTGAGTGTTGTTGGAATAGCATGCAAATCTAACTCGTAAATTTGGGAATTGAATCCACGGCTCAAATATTCCGACGCGAAAAGATATCCTTTTCTATCGTCATCATCGTCTCTCGGTACCCAAACCAGTCTATATATATCACTCATTTGACTCAGTTGAATTGTTTGAAAGGTCGCTTTATCTAGTATAGGCTGATTCAAGTCAACAGCGGCCATCTTATTTCCATCTGAATGTATTAACAGATAATCTCCGCCAATCAAAACTGTTCTTATGATCCTGTCTTCTGATGGTAGGTCTAACTGAAGTGTTCTTTTGTAGACATT